CTTTCCCTGGCTCAGTCCTCCGAGGATGAGACCCTCTGTGGCATCTCTGAAGTTTCCATCTCACACTGCCCCGAAATCTCTGATGCACCAGATTGTGCAACTAGGCTGGATTATCAGTGGTTGTGTGTTTGGCCTGGGGGTTTTGGCCTTTTATTTCGATGAATATTATGTGGCCATTTATTCAGGCAAATTTGTTTTCCAGTAATCTTGCTAAATTATCTCAAAGCATAACTGTTTGCTTTGAGTCACTTAAAAAAGGAACCTTTGATGCCTCTCCCAAAGCTGAAAAGAAACCTCAGGCCCCAAATCCATGAGGAGGGAAGTAAGGATGTCATCTTTCACAGTGTCTTTAGTTACATTCCAGCACTGTTCTGTCTCAATAACTTAGCTGCCCTATTTGTTTCTGTGTATTTGAGTGAAGGGATGTTCAGCTGTGATTTCTGTGGCAGCTCTTGTCACTGTTACAGGACATCTCGGAGGTGACACTAGCAGCCTTTGTCTTGCCTCAGTCAGGCCTCACTACAAGCTCTGCTTCAGTAAAAATCCTTAGACAGGCCTTTCCCGGTGCCACTGCAGCGAGTGGTTTTCCACCCTTGGGACCCTTTAGGCGTGTAAGAAGGTCAGACAACGCGTGAGTTCGAGCCGAACGCTCACGCGATTCTGGCGAGGGAACTGTGAAACTGCAGACCCGTAGCAGCGTCTGAACACGACCGCTCTTTTCTCCTGGAGGTGGCCTGGCCTCTGGCTGGCAGAAATCTTACCTTCGGAGGGCTGATCGCTGCCCAGGCTCAGGATCTGGAGAAAGATACAGCATGGAATGAATAAAAGAGAGCAGAAAGATAAAAGCCTCAAGCACAGACTTCAGGTTTGCTTCTGAAAGCACTTTTAATCACAGCATCACTCAAGGAACATGTCTTGCAAATGAGTCATTTAAAAACCTCGACTTTAATTGGAAGGTCCCTCTAATGATCTTACACTAGCTTTAGTGTACTACAGTCAGAAATTACTTTAAACTCTTTTTTATTGACTGAATTTCAAGTAATTCTAGGTATTACATGTGCCCCTAGGCCAATTCTTGTGGGTTTAGAACTATGCTCTCCTCCCTTTCAAAACGCCTTTCTTCCTTTGTTGTGGTGTGAAGTGCCCACGCAAACAGGGGAATCCAGCGGCCACCACCAACCTGCAGAAACCAGTCTGGGCTGAGCGCTGGCCCCTCTGGGCAGCGGCGACATCAGGTCTCCTTTGCAAGGAGGGTTGTAAAAGCATTCAGGCAGGAGACGGTGAGAGTGTGGCACTCGGTTTGGTTTGGGGCTTTGTTTTTTGCTGTACCCTTATAAATAAAATGCAAGCAGCAGCATCCTGGTAGTTTTTAGGCAGGAGGAACTAGCATTAAGCTGCTCTGTGGATGCAGCCCCCTTAACTTGTTTGGCTTGTGCTAGCTTCCAGTTAGATGTGGTGTTTAGTTTTCACACCTGCTGTGGTCTTCCCACTCAAATATGTGGAAGAGATCGTTTGTACACTGTGCAGCACAGTTAATGGTGTGCAACGTGCAGATTTGTGGTTTTCATGTCAGGAAATCCCAAACTGCTTCTAGAAGTTCTTTATTTAAGCAGCTGATAGCTTTCATCAGAGTGGTAGTCTTCCTGCTGTTTGACATCAAGTTGCTCACTTCTCCGACCTTACCTGCTTTGCTAAAAGGATGAGTAAAACCAGCGTGGCACCGGGTCCTAGGCTCCTCGAGGAGAAACGCGTCCTGTACTCCTCTTCTGCACAATATACAAGCAGGTAACTGGGAAGGAGCAGCCAAGTAAGCGTGAGTGTGGGATGAAAGAGCAAATCCAGCTTCAAAATCTGCATTCCTGTTCAGGAACTTGTTCCCATTTCCAGCTCCAAGTGAACTTTTGTAACTGTGCTATGAACCCGTGAAAACGACCTTTTAAAGGCAAACGCCGATACATGCTTAACTCTGCCCTGGCACAAGGGCACCACCTGTACATCTCGTTTAAGTGATGGCTCATGATGACTGTATAACCAGATAGTCCTTGTTACTGCATCCTTTTTCACCCCTGGGATAGATTTGGCAGTCCATAAAAATGTCAGGGCATCCTCTAGAAAGGTGAGCACACCACGTGTCAGCAGACGTGTTCCAGTTTACTGACGCCTGGAAACACTCCCTGCGACGCGAGTGTGTTCGTACCGGCGATGTCGGTGCCCACAGACCTACTGCCCTTCCTGCACGGGGCTTTTAGTGCCTGTCAGGGCAGTCCTCGCAGCCGTGGGCCGG